ATGGTGTGAACCAGATCAGCTTCTTTATTTTTTTAAAAACAGCAGCTGTGAAATTGGGGGGATACTTGGCTTGGTACTCCCATTCTCCCATGCCAAAGCTCTTATCCATTGTCTCAGGCTGTTGCTTCCTATGATAGGTTCCATGGTCATGATTCTTTGCTCTGTGACTGCTTTCTCAACAGCACAGTCTTAAAGTGAATGCAAAATCAGTAAGTAGAAGTTGTTTTCACAGAAAAGCAGCAGTGACAGTGAATGGTCCAAATATGCTTGGACTGCTCTTTGAAGGAGATTAGCATGTGGCAAAGAAGAGGCCGATCTGCATGTCAACTTCTGGGCATCTGTCTCAGAGTACCCCAGTACAGCCTCAGAAAATGCTGTTCCTGCATTTCTGTTATCAGTGGTGCTATCTTGGGATACCTCTATTTGTGATGGTCTCGCTTGGAATGTTCAGCAATGTAGCTAAATTCCCAGCTTCAGTTTCAGATGTGACGGGATTAAAGAATAATATTGAGCAGGCTCAAAAGCCCGGTAAAGCTGCTGCAAGCTTCTACAGTGGCTGGTGGGGGCAGGGCAGGCTTTGGAAATTGTAGATTTCCACCACTCCGTATCCCTGATTGCTGTCAGCCACAGAGTTGGTATAAATTTGCCCTAAGTGATGTAGCTGTCTTGCATATAGGCATTTGCCATCTCTTTTCAGGACTGAAATTCTGTTTTCATGATAATTCTGAGTAGTACTGTTGGGATTGGGCCCACTTCTCTCAAAATACAACATTCCCAGCTAGAATGCTTAGACTCTGAACATGAGCTAGAAGAAGAGGAGGATCGGGAAGGTTAACAAGGAAGGTTAGTGAGGAGAGATGTGCTCATGAGAGCAATGCCCTTGTTTCACTTTGACCTTTCCTATACCTAGGTTTCTCTGTCATCAAATCCTGCCCTTAGATGTTGCTTGTTTCTAAGGTTTCTGATGCAAATCCATTCATCCCATTCCCTTGTTCCAGGAGTGGACAACTCTATGTTCTCTATAGAGTTGTTCTCTTTGTTTTCTTTTGTTCTCTTTTGGCCTACAGTTCCCACTCACTATGCTGGCTAGGACTGATTGTAGATGAAAACAACTGGGGGTCACAAGTTGCCCAACCCTGCAGGTGTAGCCATAATAATAAGAGATAGCCCTAACGAAAATGGGCAAAAGGCTAATAACAGGGAGCTTGAGCTTGATGGCTAATCCACGTAGCAGGCAAGCTGGTCAAACTGCCCCTGATTATTCTTTTTCTCAGGCAAGCATTCATTAGTGAGATCCTTTGTGGTCTGAAGTGCCCCTAGCTGCTTTTCTTCCTTGGGGTTTCAGCCACTCGTTTACATGACAGGCCAGTAGGCAGTGGCAGCTACTGCTTGCCTTCCATGTTGCCACCATCTGGGCCAGAGCAAGAGGCAGTTGAACGAGCAGGTTGAACAAGCAGCAGAAAAGAAGCGTCTCATCACTGAGCCCCTGCTGCAGTGTGGGTGCTTGGCAAGTGCCTGACGTGTCTGCTCTTGCCACCAGACCTAGTGCAGATAAACCATTGGTGGTATGTTCTCACCAGGGCAGGCTTTCATTTCCTATTTAACACAGCTTAAATCCTGAATAATTCAAGCTTCCCATGTAAACTTCCCCTTATTTTTAAGGGGATTGCAGCTTCGTTTTAATAGGAGAATTTTACAGAAGCTTCCAGTTTTCCAATTCATGGACTTAATAGGTATTTTACATATTATGAAATGAAAAAGTAGGAAAGGTTTACTAAACATTCATGTCCAGAGGGAGTTATGGGAAAACTTCATAACTTACCATGAAACCAATGCACTGGGAGCTATACTATCATTCTAGGAAACAATAAAAGCATTTATGAGAAATGATATGATAAGGTGGAGCCAAGCTATGAAGATGATGAATTTCAAGTATTTCTCATAACATCCTCAAGTAATATATTATAGGCTATTTGTTGAAGATGATATATTTTACTTTTTTAGAAGCACAGCAATATCAGGAAGGCTTAAAAACAGTATTACATCTTCCAAAGATTTATCTTGCTAGATAATTGCTAATTTTTGGAGTGGAGAGATCATGATTTCAAGTGAGGGTAAGTGGTATGTTTTAGGAACCTTTTAGGAACGAACGAAACAAACAGTGATTATTAGCGCTACAAACTGAAGCCTAGTAAGGCTTGTAAGAAAAGGGGGAGAGTTTTAATCTAGGAGGGAAGAATCACACTGGAGCTAGAGTTCAGGAAGTGATTGTTGGAACAGCATTGAAAGTGTCCATGAAACAACTAAATTACACAACAAGGACACAGGCAGGATAGATGTTGCACCAGCATTAATCAGGCAGCCTTGCAAGTGCTTCTTTTCTGGTTATATTTTGAGACTCTGTTCTTTGGGACATCTACAGGTGAGTTGATAATCTCAGGGTTCAGGAAATAGTTTTGGGAGCTTCTCTAGAACAGGGGGAAGCCTAGCATTTGGCAGTGGTTGGAGTGGGAATTATGACAATATATTCAGGAGAGTCCTAAGTGAAAGTGTCTTGCAGATGCTAGACTTGAATCCGCACATATTGGGTAGATGCATTTCCTCCTCAAAGGACATCCAATCTGACTCTTGTAGGCCTTGACAGATATGAAGGAGGTTCACACCAGATTAATGTTTGTTAATAGGGACCCATGGGAGAAAAGTTGTATCAATGGATCCCTGCTTGATATGTCATCCTGTGTAAGTGGCAAAGTAGGTATGAAATGAACTATATAGAAGCAGTTAAAGTGACCTTTCCAAGAATATGCATCAACTGTGTGGTGACTTGATGAGCATTGGGGCAGGTTGGTTCTGCTAAGCTTCCAGGGAAAAATCTCCCTCAAGGCTTTCTTTCTGAAAGAGACAGCAGCTGGATGCAAGATGCAGGTGGGATTTCCATTACGATTGTAGCTGGTGAACGATAGCTAGCTCCTCCTCTGCACCCTCACACTCTTGATGCTGATTCCCCCATCCGGTTGAAGTTACTTGCTTTTTAAAAATATGGAACCTAATGCCATTCACATTTAATGGACATGGTCCTAAAATCTTGATGTTATTGGCTCATTCTTGGGGTGCTCATTAAATGATGGAGGTGCAAAGGTGATAAACATCACAAGTTGTTTGGCAGAGTCTGTGACACTTCCTTATCCAATTAATAATGAATGTTCTAATATTTTAGTTTAAAATGTTACTCATTTCTATTCATCAGCATTTTTCTGCTTATCTACGGCTAGTCTAATCGCTATTCATGACAGTATATTGGAAGACATGTGGTTAGTCTTGAAGTAATATCTTCAGATCAGAAGACAGGAATCCTTAGTCTTTGCAACAGAGTGAGGTTGACTGTATTAGAATCTGAGCAATTTTAACTTACCAAAGCATGCAGGGACCCCTAATGATAGTACGTAAGCAGGAAATTTGTCTTGTAAACATGAAGGCTTTTTATTTTCTAGTCATCAGAAAGATGAATTAATGATGAGAACATAAGATCAGATGGCTTTATTTTTTAATTGAGAAGTGCTTGGCATGGATGCTTAGAGAGATGAATATATTTTCACAGCAACACACCTTCAGTGCCAACGTGCGCACAATGGTATAGCTTGCTGTAGAGGACTCCTAAAATCACTACACACATAGATGTGGTAGGCCATATTTGATATTTGCACTGCATTACTGATGATTATGTTGGATTAAGTAGAGTAAGCTTGTAGAAGTATGCTTGCCCCAGAGTAGCAAGCTTCTGAACTGTAGCCCAAGGAGTAAGACAGTTGCGCTTATGGTGCAGAATGGAGTCGTGCTTGCTGAAAATAAATTACCTCCAGTCAAATGGCTACAAGAGTTTAAGTGGTTTGCCACCTTGCTGACCCCTTCCCCCTGCTGCCCCAAAGGTCTACCGGGAAGACAACACACTGTCATGCAGGAGATTTGAGTTACAGTGCGGCAATTAATCTCAGGCTGTCGGTGCTGCTGGATGGCCATGAGCAGTGCAGAGCTCTCTGGGCAAAATGGGATGTCTTCTTATCCTCTAATGGCTCACCCTGGCTTTGTATATGGAAGGGCATTTATCATCTCCACAGGGACCTGCAGGCTGCCCTTGTTACCATTTGCTTGCTGCGATATGAGCAAGTTCAGAGTTGTCAAAGGATAGAGGGGGTGATAAACACTTGGCATACTTTGGTCTTCAAGGTGTTTTGTACAATTAACTAATTATTACTGGATCAGTGAGTTGGACAGGAGGTTAATAAGGCTTGTATAAAGCTAGTCGGAGTGGAGGGAATATGACAAGTGGACAGATCTAAGATCTAATTCTTAAGAGAATCAAGGTTTCCCCTTACAAGATGACATACCAGTGATTCTGTAAAATATGACCACTTCCAAAATAAACAAATGTTGGCTGTTTGTCAGCACATTCTGTCGCTCTCTCTCTCTCTCTCTTTCGTTTCTATTTCTTTTTATTTAAAACGATTATTAACATAGTTGGGTTGTATCCTGTTGTGTATGTGTGTTTGTGGGACCCACAGCTTGTAGAGTGGGGCTTTAGCAGAGTTGCCCTAGAAATGAGCATGTGGGTACAAGCAAAACAAAACCAGCAGAAAAAGAGATAGATACTGCCCATTGTTTCAGGAAGGCCTTGTGTTTTTTCCCCATCTTGGACTGATTAAAAATTGATCTGAAATTGATCTGGCCTATGTTAGTAAGATTATTAATTGGTTATTTTTAATTAAAATTTTAATTGTTTGGTTGTAATTTTATTGTTGTATGCCGCCTAGGGAACTCATTTAATCTGTTTGGCGACTTAAAAATGTAAAAATAAATAATGTGCAGTTTTTGTTTTCTTTCATGTTTTTCTATTCAGTTTTTCCCCTCCCCTTTAGATCATATGGAGCAGTAGTAAATCTCAAATAATAAGAAGAACTGAAATCCTAATACTTGTTGCAATATTTCTCTTTGTATGCCTACAGATTAAAGGGATAAAACTTTTTAAAAGCAGCATTCTAATCACCACATATTGGACTTGGGCCTCCTTTGACCTCGGAAACTGAAAATGAGGTTGCTATGGGAACTCCTCGTACTGCAATCATTCATGTTGTGCCTTGCAGGTAAAGTGTCATTTTTAAAACTTCTTTCTCCTTTATTTCTAATTTTTAAATGCCAATGTAATATTATACATTAATTCAAAAGGCCACCGAGTTTCATATGCCAGTGGTACAGCAGCAAATAAAGCCACTCTTCTTGGCCTCCATTTAACTAAGATGACTGAATACACTCTACTAATGCTTTTAAGTTCCTCCTTTAATATTGCCATTACCTTCCACAGCTAGGTTCAAGCTACTTCATACCATTTATTCTGCCCTCTTTTTAATTCAGAGTGTTTTGTTGACAAGAGCAATTGTCCTCTTCTTCCATGAAAAACATTTAACATACTTAACAATGGATTTACATAATAAGAATACAGGACTCTACCCTGAGTATTGTTGTGTTTTGTTAACTCGGATGTTAATGATGCCTTGGGTCTTAAATTTCTCTGTACTTATCTGTTTTTTGAAGACATAAAATATGCTAACAAAGTTGCAGTTGAATTCTGAGCAGTTTTTCAGACATGTGAGATGCATGGGGTAATCCAGCAATTTAGTTTCTGTAAGGTGTACTGAGGTTAAAAAAAAAGTTGTATCTGGTCATGGCACAGTGCAACACAGTTCACCTTCTCTGCAGAGTATCTGTACTGATACTGCTCTGCACAGAAAACATAGGAGCTTTTCCAGTGTAAAGCCTGCAAGAATTCTTCAGTGAACAAGGCCCAGCTTGCCTGTTACACAAAGGGAATGGTGGGCCAACTCTGAATAATTTCACTAAGCCCAGCACTATTTGTGGCCTGGTGATTAGAGTGTTGGACTGGCTCCTGGGAGATCTGGGTTCTAGTTCCCCTCGGCCATGAAGCGCAGCTGGTGACTTTATGCTAGCCACTGCCACTTATTCTAGCCTTTGGGGTTGTTATGAGGATAAAACTGAGAGTACAAGAAGGGTTTTGTAAGCCATCTTGAGTGCCTTGAAGGTAGAAAGGCAGAATATAAATATATAAAATAAAGTTTTGGGCACTAGCTGAAGATTTCATTTATCCATTACATTTATATATCAGCCACAACTGTCCATTGCTCTTGGAGCGGTTTTGCAAAGCCCTCCCAGGCCTGTTAGAAAATCCTTTGGTGCTTTTATGCATTGTATCACTGTCACAGACTCTCAGTCCAGCCTACCCGATAGGGAAGCTGTTGTGAAATGTAGCTATGTAAGCTTCCTTGGCTTCTTCAAAAGAGGCAAAAAGACGGGATATAAAATGCAATGTAATACTACTACCTCGAATGATGATATGTGGAAATCCTCCTTTCCACACCATTTTCTCATCTTTCTAGGAAGATGGCTTATATACAGTTCCACTGGCCACATCCTTCTTCTTTTTAAAATACAGTTTAACATAATGGGGGAGGCTTGTTTGTTCCTAGAATACTATTTTGTTTTTTAGGTTTGTCATTTCAAGTTCTGTTTGCATAACTGATAAATGGCTTATGACAAGTTTGACTGACTGATTATTTTGAATAAGCCCGTCACTACATTTTTTCCTGTCTTGACATCTGGGTGATCAGGGCTTAATAGAATGTTTTCAATTCTCTAGTCCCGCAAATTTCATAACCTTCAGCTAGTGGCAGGGTCAGAAAAACATTAAAGCTTGAGTTTGGGTGCACACAGAGGGAAAGATCTGAGAGTATAATCTGCATCTGAGAATGCAGTCTTAAAGGAGCTGCAGGAATGGTATTTCCTGCTTCAGATATCGGTTTGCTTCCAGTATGCTGTGCTTATAATTTTGCTAAGAAATAGACACCAGAAAGGCACTGTGCATCTCCAGTGCACCTTCTGATTAACAAGCTTCAGAAAACTGTAAAGCACTGTTCTCCCAATTTCTCCAGGAACCGGTGAGAGCTCTCTTTTTATCAGTGCATAATTAATAATACTTACTTACACTAAGCGAGTAGAAGGCAGGTAGGCCTTAATTAAAATTTGGTTATTGGCATTCCAAAACTCTCTATTCCCGGGGTTGCTTCCTTCTTATTTTTATAATTTAACATTTATTTTGCATATTTTGTGCATTTGGGGCTATTGTATTCTTGTATTGTCCCAAAAGATGCTTAAGCCAGAGGCACTGATCAGTATACGGTATTTTAAAACAGAATGCGCGTGAGTGATGGAACATGTATTTTAAGTTTCTTGCTTGAGGCATGCACGATTAGAAATGCCAACCAGCCAACCAGTAATTCGCTCATTTGTAAATGAAGGTGGCATCTTGTACATAACAACCCATTAGAGCAGAGAATGTTCCATGATTACCTTACTAAAAAAACAGCAAGGTCTGTGTGTGCAATCTGAAAGTTTGTAAGCCAGGAAAGGACCTGAGATACTAATAGTGCAGCTGTCTCCCATCATGGAAGAGGTCAACAGACAGGAGCAGCACTTTCCCCAAAGCAAGCACCAAGTCAGCCATGACCTCTTCAAAATGCCGCATTTAACCTCCTTGTACCCCATGGTTTTCTGGGTGGGAAGGTGTCTCTAACACTCCGCCAACTGCCAGCATTCTGGGCCCACTGAGAATGCTCTATTCCCATTTCATTGCTGAGATTTTCTTCTCCCACCACCAACATTGGAATGTTTTCTGTTATCAAAGTGAGCTGTCCAGGAATGTGAGGGGAGATGAAGCATGACCATATAGTTTTGTTGCCAGCACTAAATCTAGCTGGATGTGTCATTGTTGCTTTTTAAATTACAGGGAATGAGGAAAAATACAGTGTGAGTGGAAAGGTGGCTGGTAAAGTTAATGCTACATTATTATGAACAAAGGCAACTAGAGAGAGTTTTAAGCTGGTCAGGTGCAAGTGAGAATTTCACCTTGTCTTCCTTTCTTCAGCAGTGGGCAGTAGCAATGAAGTGTCTTTATCCCTGATGTTTCTAAGTAGTGTCTTGCTCACATAGGCCATTTCTTTACAACATGTTTACCTACTTGCCTGTGCATATGTTTATATTTAAGGCACATCAAAGAATCATATTTATGCATATTTCAATATATATTTCAATATATATTCCAAATGCATTTCTATAGATGTGCTTGTGAAAGAAATCACTGCACTAGCTGAAGTTCCTTATCACCAGGAATTTAGTGAGGTTTCCTTAATCACAAACCGCTTTCTCTGTAGGCTTAATGGTCATACTAGTTGAATTAAATAGGCTAGTCATAGTTTTTAGAATCTAGGGTTCTGTAGCATACAGTGGAGTGGTGGTAAAGAATGGCCATCATTTTATTTGGAAGAGCATCTGCAAATCACTAAGTGGCACAGTCTGTAAGATCAGCACAGCTTAAATAAGCAATGATGACTTAAGCCGTGGTACATGCCAAGCCTAACTGCCCACCAAGACACAACTTGTCATAGCATTCAAATGCAGACAGCATGGCTTATCTGAGAAGAAACAACCCTCAAATATATCACGGCCTGTAGATAATTGGCATATGCCAGCACTAGTTCACTGCAGTGGATGAGCACTTCAAGTCATTGTATAATAATAGTCACTTATCAGACTTTATGTTTGCTGTGCATTAAGTACAGTCCTGCACATGTCTAAGAAGTAAGTCCAGTGTCCAAGAAGCAAGTATATTCCACGGTAAGTGGCTTTAGGATAGCAGTCCACAGTAGCTATTCTGAGGTGGAAATTAACTGAGAAGATTGTTAATTTCTCAGAAGACTCAAAACCTTTGAATCTTTTCCATTTCATCTCAAAGTAAATACACATATAAACCAAGTCTATCCTCGGCCCACAGATTGAATTTGGCCTGCCGTACTACCCTTCTGGCCCCACCTGTGAAGGCATTTAGTGAGCTTTTCCCCTTCCCGAAGCTCCAGCCACGATTGCATTGCATCTCAAAGGGGAGTCATGGCCTCGGAGTTTTGGAGGTGCCTTGAGGTGGTATTGTCTGGAACTTTCCTCAGGTCTCACCTTTCCCAGTGAAAGCTAATCAAAGCTGGCTCCCTGGGGACCTGCCACTTCAAGGCCCTTCCAAAGTCTGGAAATGCTGGCTCCCCAGAGTGCTGAACAGGCTCAGACAGGAATTAATGTCTCAAGGAAGCTTCTCCTGGTTCCGTGCAGTAGCAACTCCTGAAGGTTTCAAACGCCCACATGTGTGTGTCTATGTGAGAGAAAGCTAGCTGTTTTGCACATCATGATAAGCCACAGTAGATTGTCACTGTGGGTGGTTCCAGGGTGACTTGTTATGACATTTTAAACTAACAGTGACAATTCAGAATGATTTGTTTAAACCTATGAGTGAGCTACCTGCAAAAGTAATCAAAAACCTTGTCAGGAGCTCCTTGTACACTTGCTAACAACATCCCCTCTTAAAATGCCACTGGTCAGTTTACTCCTCCACTTTGTTGCCTTTCTAGAGAGTAATACCCCTTTCCTCCCACCTTCAAGGATATTTGTACTAATTTAACTTTAAAAAAAGTTTGGGGGAAGTATTCTCATTAGTGGAATAGACTGTTGAATACTGCTGCGAAGACCCATGGGGCAGTGAGGGGAGTAGTCAGGAAGGTTATGGAGAAAAGGAGTCACAGCAAACTGCCAAATGCCTCATCATCTGTTAAGAGTAATATGGGACGGCAAGCAAACAACCATCTGATTGTAATTTATTTTCAGGCTGGCTTACTGTGATATGCAAATTAGACCAGAGAGAAGAATATACCTGTAACATATTCACACAACATGCTAAGCCAGTGGGGGGGGGGTGGCTTGGCCTGTTATGTAAACACTCTGCTTTTCTTGGGCGGGTTCATAACCTGGGGTTGACTTATAAGCCCCAAGTAGCCATGGCACATGCTTAGGAAATCCTCTGTGGCTTATCATGTCATATAAACCTGGTTGACAAAGCCAAAAAATAGGCTCCCTTGACCAGAACTGCAAAACAGGGCAGCTACTCTGGCCAAGGGACTCTGGCTACCGCATGCCTCCTACAGCCAGGGTAGGGGCCACTTACCTTCCTCAAGACTAATGAAGATACCGCTAA